TCCCTTCGTTTTTCTAAGCGTCTCACGAGCACTCGGAGGCCGGAGAATGCTAATGCTAGACCGAATCGCAATCCCTGTAGCTAATTGTTGTGGCTAATCTGGATGAAAATCCCTATAGCCAAGCCATTGGACCGGACAGACCCTTCAATGACTTCACACTTTCTTTTTTCTCTTTTTTTTGCTAGTCCGGATTAACACATCTCTAGCCGATATCCACGCGCATGAGACTGAGTGAGACATGTATTAGGATATATTGAATTCTCTGTCTCTCTGTCTCTCTATCTCTCTCTTACAGTTTACTCATATCAATTAATTATTAATATTCAAAGAAAATCAGTTAAAAATTAAATAATCAGGTAAATAATTAATCAAATTATATATGGGAATTGGCCCTATATTTATATGTAATGTAATGAGTTTTTTCGATTTCGTATATGTATATATTTTTTTATTACTCCTGTAGGCAGACGAGCACACGGCCCACCTGATGGTGAGTGGTTACCGTCGCTCATGGAGCGCGGATCGAAGCCGAGCCGACGGCAGAGTGCCACCATTGTGGTTGCGACTTGGACACGGCGGAGCACACGCTCGTCGCCTGCCCCGCATGGGAGGGGTGGCGCCGTGGCCTCGTCGCAAAAATAGGAAAAAAGGTATCAATTCAGAATACTGTGGAAGTTAATGTTTAGTTATCTACCCAGCTGACGAATAAAGAAGCTGTTTCATTGTAAGCTATCGATATTTGTTTAATTGATTGTAATTGAACAAATAAAATGTAACAAAATTTGTTGAATATTTAACTTTATTTGACAAATCTTAAATAATTAGAGTTCTACACCACATTGACTAGAGTGTTCACCACCATCCACTGCTGTATCCGCCGCCGTATCCGCCGCCGTATCCGCCTCCGTATCCACCACCGTATCCGCCACTGTATCCTCCGTATCCACCACTGTATCCACCGATACCGCTGGAGATAACTTTATTGACAGTGACTACCTGAGGTTGGGAGACTACCTTGTTGACAGATACGACCTGGGGTACACTGACAACTCTGGGGACGTTCACGACCTTGTTGACGGAGACCACAGCGGGAGCGGAGTAGCTGCTGTAGCCGATACCACCGAGTCCACCACCGTAACCGCCATATCCACCACTGTATCCGCCATATCCGCCACCGTATCCGATCCCACCGCTGTATCCGCCGAGGAAGCCGCGCTTCTCACGGACATCGCCGGCTGAGGCGAGCGCCACCAGAGTGCAGATTAATACCTAAAATTTAAAACAAATAAAATTATAAACTATCCCTTTATTTTCAGAATCCTTAATGTTATCACTTAACGTTATAATAGGCTGTTCGCTTGCTAGGTACTTTGTCATAATTTACACTTGTTTAATTAGAAACAAATTGATGCAAGCGTGCTCGTGAACTTACAAAAGCTCTCATGTTGTTGTCTGCGGTCGGCGACAGTGGATGAGTGATGTGCAGTGTCTGACGGCGCGGTATATATCCGCGCGCTCGCGCAACACTGCCCTCGCCACACTACTCATTCTTCTGACGTTCATTCATAATCCTTCGATCGTTTGTATGTAGTAATGCCACACACCTGTCAGTTTACAACCTGTTCGCGTTTATCTGTGTTCTTATTTACAATATCCTTCTGAATGCGAATTAATTATAATTGTGCAATTTATAACAAACTTTTAAAATGAAATAACTTCTTTATCAGAGTGACAGAATCAGCACGACGCATATATTATTTAAATGTAACACGAATTAGAAAATTATCATTAAATTAATTTGTTTTACTTAACTTACTTTAAATATAATAGAATCTAAATTGTATTGAGTTGAACACACAACTAACCGATGACCCGTGCGTTTCCAAGTGGGTACCTACAGTACATAGCATTAGTTGTCCTTGATGGCATCATAACGTGGTCTATTTCACTGTTAAACACATTACTCCAAACTTGATATGTCATCATGTAAATTTTTTTATATAAAGACGGTATTTAAATAATATAAAAGTGATACAGAATACAAATAAAAATCATAGGTATATAACTGAACCGCCGACGCCATGACGATGCTCATGTAAGACCAATCTTATTGAAGAATAATATTTAGTTTATGGATCTATGAAGATCTGCGAAATAATGACAGAATATTAGAAATGACTCTACACTTACACTTCGAGTGCGAACCAATCGAGGACGCTGGTGTATCTTGCTCGACTTTTCAGTGACAATGTTTGCATTCAAATTCTAAATGTATCTATTGCTTCGGGGGTCATACTAAATTTATTTAATTCATTTTCTTTCAATATTTCGTACAAAGGGCGTTACGATCTATCCACAGAAAGTTTCAGGAAACCGAATTTGGTCACTAAAGAATATAAATTTGTTTATTTACATAATGACGGCCAGCAGCAGACGGTATGTGAGCTCGTCGAGTGCAGTGGAGAATTAAACCGCAAGCCGGGAGAGCAAGTAAAAAAAAACATGATAATAAATGAAACACAATAAAAAAGGCTATCCAATTTCTAAAACACAAAGAACATAGTTAATAGCTATTAATGTCTTGGTGAAACTAAATGTCAAAGATCGTATTCTTGGTCTGGTTTTATGTCAATCATGTATATTGAAGTTTTGGCCTAAGGATTAAGACGGCCGATGCATTCGTATGCGTCTGTGCCGGTGTTTGATCCCACAGAGAGGAACCAATTTTTCTGATAAAATACGTATTTAAAATACGTAATTAATTAATCTTCATTAATGACTTCCACGAAGAATGAATAACATTGTATAATAATAATCAAACCAGCAAAAAAAATTAATTTCTGTAATTCCTGGTGGTACGGCGTCTTGTGAGCCCACACAGATAGGTATCAGCACGCTGCCTATTTCTGCCGTGAAGCAGTAATGCCTTTCAGTAGGAAAGATGGGACAGCCGTTAGGCACTGAGACTTAAAACTCTCATGGCTCATGGTTGGTATTGACATCTAAGTTGCTTATGTCTGTGGGTTCGGGTGACCACTTAACATCAAGTGGCCCATGAGCTTGGCCACTCATCTAAGCAACTAATAAGAAACTTACAAACTCTGCCAGTGTTGAGGGTCAGCTTCCTCATCACACTTAATGACAATAGAAAATGTTCAGAGATCTATTGTGAAGGTGACCCTGAACAAGTCGCTTAAGTTGCTATGTACTGAGTTTTTTTTATTTCCTTTGTCGGTAGAAGAGCATACAGTCCAGCAGTAAATACTCAATCTCGCTGATGGACATCAGTAATGCCATAGGACATGGCCAAGCCGCTGCCTACTGCTGAGGTTTACAAGGAGGTTGATCTGTAGAGCATATGCCAACCACAGACTTAACCACACCAGAGTATATAAAATAGTTTTTATATGTAACAATAAAGAAAAAACTATAATATTTATTTCCAAATTAATTTTACAGAAATGGTTTTTTGAGTCTTCAAATAAGATCTTCCTGTGGTGGGAATAGTTGGCTACTT